GGACCCCCCGGACGGGGGGTCCCGTCCCCCCCCCGGCCCCCTCAGCCCCGAACCGGGCCCGGTGGAGCCTCGTTGAGGTTTGGGTAGGAGAGAGCTTAAAGCTCATCCCGTTTCCACTTCTTTGAGCTTCCACTTTAGCCCAGGTGGCTCCAACCTGGCCTTGGACGCTTCCAGGGGTGGGGCAGCCGCAGCTTCTCTGGGCGACCCTCCCAGCCAAGAATTCCTTCCCAATATCCCGTCTAAGCCTTCGCCCTCTGAAACCCTGAATCCGTCAGGTCCTGCTGAGGTGCTTCGGCTCATTTAAGCGCCGGTGCCAGGTCTAAAACACGCTCCCTCCTCGGGGTAACCCCAAATATCGGCCCTGAGAGCTGCCGGCTCCCCCTCGGCAGGACTCAGTTAGAATTAAAATTAAAGGGCGGGTTCTGTGCTGCCGTCCCAAAAGCCGGGATCCAAACCCCCGCGGGGTTTTCTGGTCTGTCCCCGGGGGTGAGTTTGGAGGGCTGTGCCTGTGTGGGGCTGTTCCTGCTGCCCATTTATCTGAGTGTTGAGCTCGTCCTGAGCTGTGTGGGGATGGCTGAACCAGAGCAGCTGGTGGTGGGAATGTTTAAGTGGACGGTGACGTGCCAGTGCTGTTGCTGTGGGTTCAGGAGGATTGTGTGTTCCGTGCAGCAGCACCAGCTTTTGCAGAGCTCTTTATGCTGCCAGCCAGAGCCTCTGGAAGCCTGAGCTGCATTATCTCTGCCCCTGCTCTTTACTTGATGGGGGTCTGTTTGTTGGATGTTTACACCCTCATTTTCCTAAAATAAGCCTGTTCCTGAAGCCACAAACCCAAATGAGTCTCATTGAAACACTGCTGGGAGTTTTCTGCACAGGAGAAAACCGTGCTGTGACTTGTCGCTGTGACAGTCTCAGGAAAGCCTTCCAGGCCTAATCAGGTTTATAGTCCCCTGAAACATTCTTCAGCTTAAAACTCAAAACTCTTCAGTCTGTTTTGGTAACAGGGTCAGGGTCTGCACATGTGTAGGTGTGATGGAGGTGAACACATACCTCTCCCAGAGCAGGTGCACGCTGAGCCTGCCTGGAGGCTGGCGGGTTGGAAGTGGTGTTTATGTGCCTCTGATCCACAGGGAAGTTGGCTTTGATGTCCCGGAGTGGTTTTTCCACCACGGGTGGCTGCGTGTGAAGCAGAACGTTGGGACCTGCTCAGGTGCAGTGCAGAGGGTTTCTCCCAAGTGTCTCTCGGGACTGGAGCTGTAAAGAATTGAAAAAGATTGAAAGTGTAAAGAATCAGGGACCCTGACAGTGCCATGCCCACACAGAGCAGCTCTGAGGCTGCAGTGCCAGCGTCCCAGGAGCCTTTTCCATGCCCAGAGCATTCAGGACATCAAGGTGGCTCCAACTGCTGGCTTAGGATGCCCTGGAGTGATTCAGTTTTCATCACACAGTCCGTGTGTTCCAGTCTGATGTTGTCCTTTGCACTGGTGACAGGACTGACTCCTATTCCTGTCTGCCTGTTTGGCCTAAACTTGCCAAAAGTATGGCAAGGAGAAACATGAAAGAGGAACTTGAAGATGCCTGGGTGCTTGAGATGTAAAATGACTGTTTAGAGTTCTGAAGTGTTGAGTTCCCATTTCTTTGAGCCGTTACATTCACGTTGTGTCCTGCCCAATTCCCTTCAGCTGCAGCTCCGGTGGGTGCCCCAGTCGCTGGCTCAGCAGTGGCTGGAGCAGGGCCTGGGGCTCTCCCTCTGCCCCGTGGGGGTCGGCAGGGCCAGAGGAACTGATCTGTGAGCAGAAGGAGGAGCTGGATCGTGTTTCTGAGGTGTTTTTGTTGTTCTCAGCGCGTGGTAATTCACGATGGGCAGGTTTAGCTCCGGCTGCTCCAGGCCTGCCTGTGGGTTCCTGGCTGTCTTCCTTTAACAGAGACCATTTAAAATACACCAACAAAGGCTGGAACACAACAGGAGGAAGTGCTGGTTGCGTTTACTGGGTTGTTTTCACCACTCCTGATCTGAGCCCTCACCCCCAGCTCTGTCCATCCTGGTTATTGCAGAGCAGTTCTTGGTGTGTTTCCTGTTGGAATTTCTCTGCTGCAGTGCTGGTCCGAGAAATGTCTAAAAAGCCCAAGCTGTTACAAGTTGATAATTCATGCTCCATAACCTCTAGGTGTGATGTATTCCACAGGAATTCCAGACTGGAGCTGCCCTTCGGTGCCTGGGCTGACAGCACACCTTTAAGCAAACTGTTAGGAATATTGAAAGTGCTCCAGTGATAGGATGGGATCGCTCAGGGGTTGGTCACGCAGTGCAGGAGCTGCTTTCACTTTCAGACTGGGCTGCTCGGCCGGGAAGGAGCGGGACCAGGAAGGAGCGGGGCTGGTGGGATTCTTGGGCCATCCCTCTGATATCCAGGGGGTCGGGGCTGTTCCGCAGGAAAACGTGGCTGGAACCTCTGGAGTTGGAAACCGTCTCCATGTGCTGCAGGTGCTGCTCTGTGGGCTCTCCTCTCCTCTCCTCTCCCAGCCCTCTGCAACATGAGTGCTGTGCCCGGGAGCCTCATCTCCTGGGTTTGCTTCCCGCTGGAAGCTGCTGCTTTGAGGGAGCGTGTTTGGTAAGAGGATTGGGGGAACAACACTCGAGAAGTTCGCTGTGGCACTTCCCTCGTGTGTGGCCTCCATGTTATCAGTGTTTGTTGTCAGGGCAGCGGGGTGGGAGCTGGAAGTGGAAGCACTTTGGAGCTCGCCGATTTTCACGGTTTTCCGTGACGTGGCTGCCTGGAGGATGGTGGGACAGGCACAAACCAAGGGCTGTTCCCACTTCTCTGTTCTCCTGCCATCCTCGGGCTCACACAGGTCTCTGACACTGGATTTAGTGAGTTTTTATTTAGATTTTTCTTGGAATTTGTGTGTGTAAGCCAGACAGCAGCTCCTGGCACCAGTGAGAGCTGGGACAGCACCCAGGAGCTTGGTGTCTCTGCTGTCACAGAAGCTCATTGTGCAGCACAAGGCTTTGGCCGGTGCAGGTTGGGTTTGGGGACATCCAGCACATGCTGGTGCCGTTTTCCTTGGACAAGGAATACCCTCAGCATCCTCCAGGATTGAGATGTGGCTGGAAGGGTGCCGGGAGCAGAGCTGCAAACTCTTGGTGCCTCTTGCTTCCCACTGTTCTCAATGCTTGCCAGTATTTTGGAGTTGTACTAGAGCCCCCCATAAACCAAGGCCCAGGGCATTCCAGTGTTTTTGCTAAGCAGTTTTCCTTCCTTTTGCCAGTGGGGTGTGATCTTTTGCACAGGAGTTTTCCTAAGGAACTGGTGCTGTTTTAGGGACAGGCTCTGCCCTGCAGAGTCCACGAGTGAGATCTGGTGGTGTGAGACATGAGCTAATGTAGAGCAGGAACGGAGAGATTCTGATATTGATTTCACCCTTCCTAAGTTCCTTTGGATGTGTAAGTAAAGCTGTGTATTTGTTACGGCTCTGACGGGAATCATTGCTGCTGATTTCCCTTCAAAAGCTGTTACAAATAGGAAAGAAAAAAAGAAAAGCAGCAAAGCCCCTGAAGTCTGGTGTGAGGAAGAGTCACAGGGTTTTACAGGCACTGGAGGGCATCAGTGCCTCTGGACCAGTTGGTGACATTGACCCTGGGATCAGCAAACCTCAGCCCATGCTTGGGAGAAGCTGAGCAGGAGTTAAAGGGAGTCATTAAAAAAAGGAAAAGGGACACCTTCCCCTCCAAAAAAAACCCCAATGTCATTGGGAGCTCTGCACAGCATTTGATAGGCAGGACGTGACCCTGGGTCTCTGCTCTTCCCTCAGAAGGTCCCCAGAGCGTGGGGGCTTTGCCTGCAATTCCCACCATGGGATCGGTGTCCAGGCCTGGGGGTCCTGGCTGGTCCCCACGGGCTCTGCAGGCCCCACATGAACCCTGCCCATGGGGCACTGCTGGCACGGCTGTGGCACCACAGAAGGGAAGAAAGAGTCCCTTTAATTTAACTTTCCATTGCAAAGGCAGCAATCATTTTGTTCGCTGGAAGGTCACTTATTTTTGAAGGGCCTCTGACTCAGAAATGGCTTTTCAAAAATACTCCTTGAGCAAACAGTGTCTCCCAAATGATCAAAGGTGGCTCTCTCAAATTACAGCTTTGGTCTGTGCTCTGTAGGTGTTGTGTGTGGCTGGATTCTCCATCAGAAGGTGTTGGCCACTTTGATTTCCTTGGCTTCTGGGGAGGGACAGGGTCAGGGGAGGCAGAAAGAAGGAAAAGAAAGATCCAGTGGAAGTAAAGACATCACAGATGCTTTTCTCTGCTCCTCCGGTTGTATAGGCTGCTTTCACCACCTCTTTTTTTTTTTTTAATCCATTAAATCCAATGGGAAATTGGTTTCCTTTGGGATTATGGAGAGTTTAGTGAAAAAAAGTAATAATTGGGAGGTTTTGACTGAGAAGCTGTGGCAGAGGCAGCGCGTTCCCGTGGGGTTAATCCTGCCAGACAATGATCCTGGGTGGGCAGGTGTGAGCCCGAGATCCCCCATCGCTGCAAGAGGGAAGGTGCCAGGAGCTGATAAATTCTGGGATTTGTAACGTAAATACCATTAATCTAAAAAGTGTAGCAGTGTGCTGTCCTGTGTGACTGGTGTGGGAGGTGTTGGTGCACAGGAACATCTGCTGGGGGGTTTGGGAGACCTCAGTGTGCTGCGGGGTGGGAGGTGAGGGCTCGCTCCTGGCTCGCTGTGGGTGTCCCTGGGACGGGAGCATATTTTCAGGAAAACAGGCAGTTTGGGAGAATTGATTGCCTTGAGTTTGCACACAAGTGCAGAGTCTTTTTGTACATCAGACAAGAAAATTCCTCTGGCTGAACTCGGGTGTGTGTGCAGGAGTGGTGGGGACCTGCCAGGCTCCCGCAGTGTGAAAGGCAGGAGAGGTGTGTCTCAGTTCCTGTCTGGTTGAATTCCAGGTGTGGTGGTAGTGGAGAGCTCTGTTTCCCAGAAAAACCTCTCTTTTCTGAAGAGGCAGGAGCACTTCACAGGCTGGTGGCTGTTTGCTCATCTCTCAGCTATGTTTGGGCTTACGAGTCTCTTTTTTTCCCCCTCCTCTTTCGTAAAACCTAACCGTGCCTTTCTTTCCCAGCCCAGGACATGGTGCAGGGTGAAGAGCACAGATAAAGACCCTCCCAGCACTCACTCCAGAGCCTGTCCCGCCCATCCCGAGGGCTCCATGCGGCAGGACACGGGCTGATGCCCTCAGCTCACCCCGCCATGGAGGGGGGGAACAGCTTCCCGCAGCACCAGCAGCCGGGCGATGCCCTGTGCAGCATCCCCGGCCTCCGCCCCCAGCTCGCCCTGCCGGACATGGAGGTGAGGCCACAGCTCCTGGGGAGGGGGAGGCTGTCCCGGGGAGGGGCCTGGGCACATCCTGGGAGTCCTGGGGCACGTTGACAGCAGCGGTTTCCCAGACTTTCCAGGCAGCTGTCCAGGATCGATCAGAGGGATTGAGGTGAGGCTGTCTGCTGGCTTTGAAGTGGGGAGGGAGAAGCAGGGCTGTGCTTAAAACAAGGACTCTCTGAAAGCTGCTGGGTGCCAGCTGCCTGGTGAAGGACTGAAGAGGGTACCCAGGATTGCAGACCTTGTTCCTCCCCCTGCTCGTCTCTCCGAGACATCTGAACCTGTGCCTGGGTCCAGCTGTGCCTGTTTCCAGAGCAGCAGGAATAAATAAGTTGTGTTTGTCCTGATGCAGCTGCTAAAACCGGACCAGGTCCCTGATGCCTTTGTCCAACAGGGCAAAAAGCAAACCCCAGTCCCAAAATAGCTGACGTGTTCCTGCAGTTTTCTCTTCCTAACTCTGGAGTGTGTCACATGCAGGAACAGCAGAGGTTCCAGCGAGGCCCAAGTGCCTGTTGCTTCAAGCACAAGGTTTCAGTGCTTTGGGCACACAAAGGGCAGATGAAAGGCTGCTCTGGAGCTGAGTAAGGAGATACTGTGTTCTCTCCCTGATTTCATTGGTACGAGCTGAGCTAAAAGCTTCTCATTAACGTTGGAGACTGTTCGGGGAAGTGGGAAGGCAAAAGGCACAGAAGGATGTTTTTGGGTGTGACCTCTGTCAGCCAATTTCAGGTTACTGGGTTAGTGTTGGCTTCCCACAGAGGCTGAATCATAGAATCATGGAATCATTGAGGTTGGAAAGACCTCCAGGGTCATCAAGTCCAACCTGTGCCCGATGCCCACCTTGTCCCCCACCCCAGAGCACTCAGTGCCATGTCCAGTTGTTCCTTGGACACCTTCAGGGGTGGGGACTCCACCACCTCCCTGGGCAGCCCCTGCCAATGCCTGAGCACCCCTTCCATGCAGAAATCCCTCCTGATGTCCAACCTGACCCTCCCCTGGCACAGCTCGAGGCCATTTCCTCTTGTCCCGTTGGAGTGTCCTGAATGAGTGGAAGGGCTGAAGCAGGGGATTGACCCCAGTGACCTTCTGGGGGCAGTGACAGGGAAGTAGGTCCCAAAGCTGGAAATGGAGAGTAGCACTCAATGTCTCCTGCTCAAGAGATGAGGAGCCACCTCTGCCTCTGGAAAGCACTGAGGGAGGGGAGCCACCAGCCTGCCTTTGGATCTGCAGCCACAGGTGATGGTGCCAGGCCTCTGCTGCTCTGACTGTTGTGGTTTCTCCTTGCAGAATTCCATGCTGGCCGCCAATCCATGGAGTAGCTGCTACTCTGCCTCTTTCCCAACCTCGTCCTTCCCAAGTGAAAACCAGTGAGTGCTGTTCTCCTTTGTCTAATCCCCTCTGCTCTTGCACATCCCGTGATTCAACTGTTTCTTTACTGTTTTCCTTGTTTACTTTATTTCAAGATCTGATGGGGAAATAATTGCATCACTCTCTGATCTTGTGGCATTTCATACTGTTGCAGCTTGGAAACAGCAGCAAACAGCTTTTTGTTTTAGAAAACAAGAGAAAACCTTTGATTTCTGGTAAACCTGGAGGCTGCAGTAAAAGGGGAACAGCCTTGCTTTAGCTTGGATTTGTTACACTAATGGAATTTTAAACACACCCCATGAGCATGATCTGGCAGAGGAAACACACTGGGCAGTCTCTACCTTGGTACAGACATGGAGGAAGATGTTACCTGTGCCAGGTGGCAGGTTTTGGGTGAAGTTAAAATTCTTTGCCATGTCACTGGAAGTGACTGACACCAACTGTGTCGTGTCTGCACTGAAAAAACGTGCTCAGCCCAGAGTTCATTTGGGTTGTGACTCTCGTGGGAAGGATGTGAGCCACGGGCTTGCTGGATCCAGAGCAACACTGTCTCTAGACTACCTGCCCAAAACAGCATTTTTTGAGGGATTTTTGCATAACAATAAACATTGTTTTCCCTTTCCCCCCTTTATGATGGAACTCCGTCCTGGATCAGAAGGTGGGATATGACAGACGTTTGGACAACATAAACTGGCCTTGTGCCACCACTTAGTGACTTGGATGGGGGCTCTGTTGGGGCTGGGAGATGCTGTTTGTGGGGCAGAAGGTTTGAAGGCTGATCCAGGGCTGTTCTTTGGTCTCTGTGAATCCAGGGAGTGGCATGGATACACAGGATGTGTTCTTTATCTAGGTCAGAGGTGGGAGGAACGAAAAGTGAAAGAAGCAGAACTCGTATCATGAGCTAATAACTGTGCTCCAGGTGCCTGGAATTAAAGCAGGGATTTAGTTTAAAGGGATTTTGGCATCTTCCTGGAAAAGCAGAGATGCCTCCCTGTGAGGGTGTGAGTTCCAGGAGGGCTGTCAGTGAGGATCAGCCCCTGTTTGGGGGGATGAGGTGTGTCGTGTCCCTGGGCTGGTTCTGGTGCTCCGGGTGTCTCCTGGCAGCGCTGGGGGGATGGACAGGGCACTTCCCGACAGGAGGGTCCCAAGAAGCTGCCCCACAGGTGCTGAGGGAGCTGAGCTGTGCCAGCTCCTCCCCACAGGAGAACAGGAGAGGAGTTCCCAGCTCCACTTGGGCCCTTTGCTCTCGGCCAGCCGGGGCTGATGGGAAGGGGCTGTGCTTTTTGAGCAGGATTCCTGTAAATTGCACGTTGTGAATCCTCCGGAGAGCTATAACAGAATTTCTGTTTTGCTGCATTGAACCACAAGATTAGATTGTGTTTGTCTATTGTGTTGGGTTTTTCTCCTTGACCATTTGTTCTGGTTTTGCCCCCTCTCTCTTCCTGTCAGGTGCCGCTCGTGTCGGCGCTGCTGGGAACGTTACAGCCCGATCCTGCAAGGACATGCCTGTGTCTGACACAAACCTGGGCTTGCTTTGCTGGAGTTACTTCTGGAAATGTGGCTCATTGTAGTCATTGTTTGCTAGGGAGCGATTTAGCCAAGGCTGCACCTTTAGTGTCCTGTTCTTCATAGCCTGAGAACTGTAAAAATCACCTTTGAGGTGAGATTTTCCATATCTGCCTTTCACATTAAAAAAGTCCGTGCTTTCTGTACTTGAAAACTGCACTGACTCTGTTTTAGGTGGATTTAGGGTTAGGGGGCTACAGGTAGGAATCCTGAAAGGGATGGAATAATTGAAAAATGGGATTTTAAAGGCAGTTGTAATTGTAGCCCATGCTGTGACACAGAAAAATGCAGCTGCCATTAGAGGTGGTGCATGTTTCTCTTCAGAATCCTTGCAGAGAAATCTCATTTGCAAGCGGCTGTGTTTGGACAGGGCTTATTCTCATAGCAACACCTTTATCCTGAAGCAGGTTTTTCCTGTTTCTTTTTGAGACTTTGCTTTCATGGTGGGGAATTTCTTTAGAAGACCCCAAACGTGGCCTCTCTGGTTCACATTTTCTTAACCTGACTAGTGTCAACAGTGTATTAAACCTCCCTAAAAGAACCACTGAGGTTCAGGGCCCCGAAGAGCTGCAGCTCAGTTAATTTTAAGGAAGTTATCCCTGCAGAGCTGGGCTTCCCTTGCAGCTGGAGGCTCAACACGTTCCTGGCCGGGGGGATCTGGGACAGCCCAGTTGTGCTGTTGGACGAGGTGTCACAGCTGCAGGAAGGTGCTTCTCAAACCTGCAGCAAAGCTTTCTCCCCAGTTGCCAAAACACACGACCCCTTTTCTTGCCGTTTTCATGCCCTTTTCCACCTCTCTGTGGAGTCTTGCTCGCTGGAATAGTAAAGCAGGCTCTGAAATTGGGTTGGTGTCTGATGGGGAAGGTGAGTGCTGGACTGGTGCTGAGTCAGCCTCTCAGCTCTCCCTGGTCTCCCACTGGCCTGAGATGTGGAGTTTGTGTCTCTGAGTGGAGGACAGAGGATGGAGCCCGGCCAAAACACACCCAGGAGGTCTCACTGAAGTGGCAGCGTGGGCCCAGAAGAGCTTTAGGTGCATTGGATCGTGGATGAGCAGCTGGAATGCAACGGAATTGCAACGGAGCACTCCTCTTTGTGGGGCTGCTGTGATTAAAGCAGCACAAATTTCCTTTCTGGAATGGTTTGTGGTTGTCCCGTGAGCACGCTCGGCCTTTGAAGGAAGCTGCTTCCATAGAGCAGTTTGCCAGGAAGCAAACCCTGGAGAGGCTGAGCAGGGGTGGACAGGGCAGTTCTCTGCAGGGCTGTGCTCACACCTTTGCTGTGCCAGGGTCACAGACCTGATTGTTCCAGCTCAAGCTCTTGTTTCCCAGGTCAATTCGAGCGACCTCGTCGGTGGCTGTGCCAGCCCTGCAAGTAACAGCTTTAATTCCTGACTCCAGGGAAGGTAAAGGCCAGGTCCAAAGGGATGGAAGGACTTGGTGGCTTTCCGAGGAGGATCTCGGAGCGGTGCCTGGAGCTGCTGTGGGCTCTCACTGCAGGCTGTGGGAACAGAGTGCATGTCACACGGGCAGATTGGAAAACCAACGTTAAGGGAAGGAAAATACCACCCAGGGCTGGTCATTGCGCAGCAGGGCAGGCCAGGGAGGATGGGACGCTCTTGGGCTCCTCTCTGTTACCTTGACTGACCCTTGTCTGGGCCATGAAGTGCCAGGGAAGCAGGAGGGGGTGTTCACTTTTCCAGTAAAAATAGTTTTTCCATCCCCTGGTTAGTTCCTTGAGGCCGGCCAAGCTCTGTCCTCGTGCGAGAGACGGTGAGACCGCAGCGGCCTCGACTTGAAAGCCATTTAAACCAACCTTTTCCTGTGTGGAAATACATTCATTCCCAGAATTTCTGCCCAGATTTTAACTTGCCTGGATGGATTAGGAGGAGCTGAGAGTCAGGGCTGGACTGTGGGGGCTGTGATGTGCAGGTGTGTTCACGTGGGCTCTCTGCAGCAGGTAGAGCTGTGGCAGCACGGAAAAGAAGGAAAAAAGGAAAGGAGGAGTAGGGAGCCATTGGTTTTTCAGGATATTACCTTTAATGATGGAAAACGAGCAGGAAAAATGTATTTAGCAGAGGAGATAACTGTGTTTGCACATAAATCCACATGTAAATGTTCAGCGGGTGAGTTAATGAGCTGCTGGCTACACATGGCACCTTAATTGCTTAATAGTCCTTTGGCAGCTCCTCATTCCCAGCTCCTGGGCAGGAGTTCTGTTTAAGCTCTGTTTCTCCCTCCCCCAGTGCCTCCTTCTAGTCTCTGGCCAGGGGTTCTGTGGCTCTGGTGTGAGGGAGAACGTGCAGCTCCCACAAGAGGAGAGCAGCTGGTGGGGTGAGCGTTCTGTGATTGCCCAAGGAGGGCAGGAACTTACGGGAAGGATTACAAAGCACATTCCTTGCTCCTGCAGGAGAGGGAAGGGGCTTGTGTCTGTAAGAGCAAAAGCAGGGGGTGGTGTGGAGCAGGGGCCAGGAGGAAGGGAATTGGCTGCTCTGGTGCAGTTTTTGCCTGTGGCTGCCCAGAGGAAGCGGGTGCTGGGCGCAGGGAGCAGAGGAAGCTGGCATGGCCCTGCCCAGCAGGAGCAGGCAAGACCTTTGCTTTGTTCCCCTGTTAGTTCAGCAGAGATCTTTTCTTGGAACTCACATCAGTCACATCCCCAGTTCCTCTCTCGGGGTAACAGTTCTGTGTGGGGTTCCCTGTCCCCAGCCCTTCCATTCTGATCTGCCTTTGGGGTCTGTCCAGGTGTGCCGGGGGATCTTTCCCTGTCAGAGCTGGTTTGTGGGGCTGGTTTTGGGGGGTTTATGGCCCAAACTGACATTCAGGTGTGATGTTTCCCTGCACCTTGGTGTGTGTCCCCACGTGGTGTGACTGACAGGTGCCATCACACCCGTCACACTCAGCACTGGGATGTCCCAGGGGCTCCATTCTGCTTTGTTGTCAGGACTGAAATATTAATTAGTCCTGCAGACCACTTTTATCTATTAAATCCTTCCTGGTTTACACAAATTGCCAAGAATTATATTTTTAGTACAGCTTTCTTACTTTCTTACTGCCAAGTTTGGGAAGTGGGATAAAACTGGGAGATATATTATTTTGCCTTGAACTCTTTTCTGGATAATATCCATAATAATATCCCCCTCCTGTGTGTGACATCCCAGAGCTGCAGCTTCACCACTGCTGAAGTGACCTGTGAAGTGCTGGCAACTGACAGGGAGTAACTGCTTCTCCCATTTCCTTACAGGCAATATTTTAACCTCCCTCAGGATTTTTATATGGATTCCATCAGCAGACCACATTTCTTGGATACAAACTATGCAACTGTGGACCCCGCTGACTTCTTACCAAAAAATGGGGATTTTCCTCAGGTAAGTGCAGAGTTCATGATGCCTCTGGGGGAGAAGGGGCCTCTGAAGTGCTGGGGGTTATGTTTCAGTGTTGCCTTACTGAGGGGAAAGGAAGTGATGGGCAATAAATTTGTCCAGCCCCAGACAGGAGTTGTGTGCAGTTGGGATCAGTCCTGTGACACCGTGAGTTTGGAAGCTGTCCATGCCTTGGTAGGGGCTTCTCTGTGGTGAAACTGCTTCTGCCTTTTAAAGTGGTGTTTGCCATAAGCACTGGCAGTGCTGGGGGGTCCTGGCTGCAGGAGGGCCCTGCAGGGTGAGTTGAACACATTTGAGACTCTTCAGTCATTTCCCTCCCAAAACGCTCTTTGCTCCTGTGTGTGCTGCACGTGCTTCCTCACTGGTTGCACTGGTGGATTCCTGAAGAGTGAATATTTTGGGATTACATCAGCTCAGTGCCCAGCATTCCAAGAATGGAGCCAGGTCAGTCTTTGCAGAGCTGGAGTGTGGGAGGAGTGAGCAGTGACCCCGGGTCACTGGGCACCTCTGGGGACCCAAAGCTCCCTCACCTCGGGGATCTCTCTGGGTGGGAAGGAGCTCTTTGCATGGAGGTTTTGGAACGTTGTACTGGCTTTTGGCAATGTGTTATGGTCAGCTTAGTCAGTAAATACTGGAAGTAGTTGATATGACAGAGCTGATCTGCAATAAGGAAGGGACTGACCCTATCCTTTCTAGGAATTAATATGGACATTGGTGCCTGCCTGGGTATGGATTGATTCCCCCTCAGGGTGCTTTTGGTTTCTAAAGAGAGGCTTTAACCCTCTTTGGGGCTCTGGTTTCTGCAGGTTTGGATGTGCAGGTGCTGAGGATTTGTGCCTTTTGAGGTGGCCACTGCTGTGGTCCCCCCTCTCCAGCTCCTCATGCCCTACATCACGGACCTGCCTGGCACAGCAGGTCTGGGCAGCCACCAGGAGCTGCTGATCAGGGTCTTCTGACTGGATTCAACCAGATAAATAATTGAATCATAATAGCATTGATCTCTGCCTCCTGCAGAATTAATTGTGGGAGGAACGAGGCAGAAAGGTGATCTCATCAACTTGTGAGACCATTTACTGGCCTGCAATGGGAAGGGGAGAGAGGTCCCCCCCATAGGTCTCACCTCCAGGTCTGGTGGAGTTTGGCTGATGGGTTTAACGGGAAAAGGGCTTAATTATTTCTTTAAGTTATGTATTTTCTAGTATCTCAGTGGTCAGTCAGCTTCCTTCCCTGCTGCATCACACAAATTGATCTCAGCCAGCCTGGGGGAGCAGATTTTTGGAGATTCTTTGTGGAAAGGAGGTGCTTTGTGTTGGCTGGGTGGGAAAAGAGCAGGAGGCTCTGAGACAAACCAGGTGTAAATGACCTCAAACGATTTCCAGAGCAAGAAATAATTCTTGTGCCACTCATCCTTTGGGAGAGGAGGCCATGGATGGGAGCGAGGTGGTTTTAGGCTTTTGCTTGGACTCTTGCACCTATGGCAATGTGCCTGCAGGTGTTCTGCCCCAAGTCTGGACACAGCAAAGTGTCCTTCTCTGAATCTCATGCAGCCAAATCAGTTCCTTCCCTGGGGTATTGTGCCATGGTGCCGTGTGCTTTCCCAGCAGGAACAGAGCTGCTGGTTTGCTCCTGGGAGCCAGAACTGGAGCCTGGCTCTGGTGGAGCAGCAGGCTGTGAACTGCAGGCAGTGGCATCAGTCTGGAGGCATCCAGGAGCATCCTGGAGTTTTTCCATCCCTTGCTCCTACAGTGTTTTCCACTTCACTGATTTCTCACTGTCCCAGATGCCAAAACTGTTAAATATTAACACTCCCCCTGGAAAGCTGCAGGATGCCATCCCGGGGGTGCTGGGTGGTTCCATCCTTCCAGGTGGCTGTGCAGGAAAGTACCTGACTTTTCCAGGCTTGCCTCTGCCACGGTAGGAGTGGCAGTGCCATGGAATGCTGTGCTGGCCTGGCTGTCCCAGGCAGAGCAGTGGAGCCAAAGGGGGAACAGAAGAGCTCTGCTGCAGGTTCCTGGTCCAGTCTGTGGTCACTGGGCAGACAAGGGGATCAGGGGCTTGGGTGAGGGCTTGTGCTGCCTCCACACATAGATCCTGGCTTTGCTGGGATACCAGAATCTGGAATTTTGAAGAATACTGAAAAAGGATTTCATAGGTCTAAAGAGCAAGTGATTGATGACTCTGAGGCATTTGTGTAGCAAACCCTTTCTGTTGGTGGCTGTGCTGGGAGGATTGTCCGTGTGCCATAGGGTTTGGAGAGTGGGAAGGCTGGCACCTTTTCCCTCCAGCATTGGCATTTGCTCCCCCCATCTATCCATGTTTTGTTTTGGGGGTCCTCAGCTGCACCTGCAGAGTGCAAAGCCTTTGCTGACCTGGGGATGCCGAGAGTGGGAGTTGCCACGTTTTCCAATGGCTCTGGGAATTTCTCTTCAGTTGGATCATTCCCCTCAGTGAACGGGGAAAGGTCCTTTTCTGCACAGCCAGAACAGCCTGATGTGAACTTGAACTTGTTTCCTCCCCAGTATTTTTGGGTTCTGGCTTGCTCCTGGGTGATTCATCCTTGCTGATCTATTGGCATTTTTTATATAAACAAGTGGCTTGAGCGGAGGTTCAGAAAATAGTTCTGGGAGGCCATGCTGGGGTCTGACAGCGTTTCTGGTCTTGGGAACTGTTGTCTTCAGCCAGAGTCTCATCCCAACCATGTGGTGCCATCTCCTCATGGAAAAGTCTACTGACTGCCCACGTGTCCTTAGAAATCACAGTCCTGAGAGAAGCAGGATTCGGTTTCCGTTGCTTCCCTCCCTTCCTGCTGATTATTCCTCCAGTCACAGGTGCTGCTGACTTGGGACCCAGCACTCGTGGGCAGTAATTCTGCAGAGGCACCTCTCCCATGTCAGTGCTTCCCCTGTCAGAGCTGTGAACTGCCCCAGTAAAGCACTGAACCCAGGAGGCCTGAACTTATTGTCTGGCCTGTGCTGTCCCTCCCAGGGGCATGAGCTGTGTCTGTCCCCAGAGCCTTGTGAAGGCAGAGCACGCTGCTCTAGGAGAGCATTCCTGCCATGTAACACCTGCTGGTCTTGGCCACCACAGATTTTTCTTTAACTTCACTGTTCTGGGCAGTTTAGAATTACTGAAAGCACAGACTCTGCCCGGTTCCTCTGAGCCCCCTGTTATCTCTGATGGCCCTGCCTGTTGCTGATAGTCTGTGTTCCCTTTGCTTAATTTCGTGTGGCTTGTGGCTCCAGGACTTTGCTGAACACACAGAAACCTCCTCTGCTGACTTCATCTGCCCTGAGGAACACTGAGAAATAAACCTGGGAGGGTGAGTGGGAGAGGGAGCAGCTCCAGGGGAGGAGGTGCTGGGGGCACAGCGGGTGTGTGAGGGGCTCTGCAGAACCTCCTGTGGCAGGAACTCAGAGCTACTTAAAACATGAATTATTGGGCTGGAGGAGGGAGGTCAGGCCAGATGGATTTTTTTTCCCGTGGGGCAGGAGGAATTGGCTGCTCCTGGGCAGAGTCACCTGCAGTAACTCTGCAAAGGTGCAGTTACAGCCCTGTTTGTGCTGGATGGGGGCTCCTGACCGTGCATGTTAATCATAAACCAGCCCTCTCCTCACCACCAGCCCCTTGCAATCTCCTGTTAATCTTCCTTGTTAAAACAGGAGGAGAAATTACCCCGCTCTTAAAAAAAGTATTAATTTTTAGAAGTGCTTCGGTACACAGAGCTGTGGTGATTTAGGAGAAATCAATGTAACAGTTATTAAATTATATGGAAGACTTGGTTGTGGCTGAAACGAAGAGTTTCCTGGAATAAGAAACATCCTGGAACTTCTGTCGCTGTCCTGGAGTTATGTCTGCAGGGAACACAGGCATTAAAATGCATTTGCAGGCAGTTGCCTGGCTCGGAGGCCTTGGAAGAACAAGTGGCCTTACATGCTCATGTCTTTGTCTTTGCACTGCGGGGTTGGGGTTTGGGCTGAGGTAGTAACACTTTATAAACCCTCTGTGTGAGATGCCTGACACTTCCTGCAGGCCTGGGGTAAGGAAGGTGAGGGCTGTGGTTGTAACTTCTCACTGAGTGCTCGGGGTGCTCCGATTTAGGCACCCTGAGCTGATCCCCAGGAGGAGGAGACCAGCTGATGTTATTCCAAAGCGATGTCTCCTTTTGGTTGGATGAACTGTGCCTTGAGAGTAAATCTTTCCCCTCTGTGTACAGGAGGAGCTCTTGGGGCTGTCTCAGGTGGAGATACCTGCGGTTAAGGGAGAGGAATTTGGCTTTTGAGGTGTAATCTGTTGTCAGTTGTGCTTGGCTGTGGGTTGCAGGAGCCAGCTGGGCCCTGGGGAGGGGGTAAAAGAGCCTGGAGGGCTCAGACATCCACCCCCATTCCAGTCCTGATAGTTTTCATCTGTGTGGCTGCCTCCAAGCAGTGATGTCCACTGTGGGCATGAGGGGATGGAGAGCTGCCTTCTGAGGTTCTTGGCAGGGGCTGTGCCTGCCTCCTCCCTTCCCAAAGCCAACAAAAGCGGGAAAAGCCGTTCTGAAATGCTCAGTGCTCTTAAAAATGATGGCAACAGAATCCAATAGCAGACCACGGGGATATGGCTTAAAATAGATGCTTTAATTCAAAGCAGGGTTGGTCTGAGTCGGGGGGTGCTGAAGGTTCCCCAGCACAGCAGCTCCCTGGGCTGTGCACTGGGGTTGGATGGAAGGGGGGAACTCAGATGTGAGTGCTGGAATAATCCTGCTGTCCTGTCCCTGTCTGTGAGCACACGTGTCCCTGGCTGAGCTGTGGGGAGCAGGGTTGCAGTGGTGGTTCCGTGGTGATCCCACCACAGTGATCCCACCACGGTGATCCCACCACCACGGTCCCACAGGATCGATGAGCAGCCCTGGTTATTTGTGTCCTGTGCCTGCTTCCTCTGCCCTGCAGGGCTGTTGGCTGCCCCATTTGTTCACTAACAGAAAAGGAAGAGGAAATAACCCACCT